TTGAAATTCTTATTTTCCCTGTGTTCTCTTTTCTTATTTAAAGTAGGCAAGCGAGCAATATAATTGCGCTACTTGACTTTACCGAACTACCGTTTTGTGTAAATTCGAGAGAGACGACGTTTCGTTTTTTTTTTCTTCGCGCGAGAGATAAATGTCTCGGATGTTGCCGAGTCGTTGGAGAACTTTATTCCAAACACGAGGACGACCTTCGCAACATGCTAATTCCGACATTCTTGCGCGATTCGAGAACGGATGCTCCGAAGAGCGGATTACAATTACATGGTTCTCACATCGCGGTCTGGTAACTGTGATCTGGCCAGTTTTCGATTCATTTCGACGGGGTGATACATGTGAGATTGTTGACGGAGAAAATTATATAAAACGTCTAACTAAATACAATCAAACAATGTTTCTTCAAAACGAATATATTTTTATTTTTTTAACGCGCGTTGTTTCACAACATTCGAACAATTCTGTATAAAATTCTCATCGCGCGGTTTATTTGCGCGCAACAGACATTTTCAACAGTTCAAATACGCGTGGAGGCTTGCTTTTGCGGTTTGCAAATTTACTCACACAATGTGATATTTAGTTTTTACTAACTGTACGATCGATCTCTCGGTGCCTGTGTGACACGCGGTACCGCGCCCGCGTCCGTAGAACCCGTTGACTTGTGCTCGCGCGATGTTTGTTTGATAAATGTTTGAGTTATGAGTGTCGCTTTTCTCGCCTTTACCTTTTTAACAGCTCAGTGTATATTTTACGTGCGGATTATCTAAACTATCACTGTACGCGCGTAACACACAAAGAGATGAAAAAGAGACGAAAGAGACTTCGGTGTCTCGGCGTCTGCTCGGACTCGGCGCGTCCCGATCTCTTTCGCGAGAGATCTCTCCGACGAGAGAAGATTTTTTTTATTTCAATTTCATTTCGAGACGCGTCGTTTTTTTTTCGCGCAAAATCGCGCATCATCCGGTGTGTTTCCACGCAAACGAGCCAAGTAAAGAGAAACAATAAACAATTGCTTTTTCATAATTCCCGCCCACAAACTCGGATTGCGTACTCGCGCAATGTCCAACGCTGTTTTTCACTTAAACGCGCAAGTCAAACGGCACCGGAAGGCGCCGAACAAATGACGTCAGCGAATGTCGTATCAATTCGCCACACCGGGTTTGATCGCTAATTTATCTGTAATTACTGACATCTCGCGTCCGGCCGAGCGGAGAATAATTAGATTCGTGACGCGAACGCGATTATACGTCGTCGTCGTCGTCGTCGTCGTCGTCGTTATCGTCGTTATCGTCGGGCTCTCAAAGTTGTGTTGTTGCTTTTCTTCTTCTCGTATCGTATATCGCGCAACGTAACCCTCTTCGCGAGTTCTTTTGACGGCGGAAAGAAGGGAACCGACGGCGCGCGCGAAGGACGCGCGATATATTATGCAATCGAGAATCTCTTCCGCGCGTTACGATCGCCTCTCGCGAACTTGAGCGAGGCGATTAATAACGGAAACGCAAAATGTTCGCGCGCGCGTCGAACAAGCGCGAGATATAACGAGCCGAAGATGTCAATCATCGATCGCGAGGCGGTTCTCGCTTACTTATAGCTTCGTTTTTTTTCTTCTTTACGCGCGTTCTTCGAACGATGTACTTGCTCTCGATGATGTGTGCACATAAGTAACGCAGTATTTATCTGTACAAAATACAACTAAAATAAACAGTACGGATAGAGACAAGTAATTTACAAAATAATTGGAGCGCGTCGGCTGTTTTTTTCTGAAAACTTAAGAGACGCCGGAGATTTTAATTAAATACAAAATTACGCAAACACCGTAACAAAGTTTTTAACTATAATCTGATAAAACCTAATATGAAACTTCAGTTTGGATTCGTCGAGCGTCAGATGATTGAACGTCATTATATATTGTCCCGCATCAAACGAAATGCCGAAGAAGTACCGTTTGAAACGCCGACAAAAATTTCCGAAAAGAGTGAAGACTAATGAATACACTCGTTGACGTTTATCTCGGCTCTCGTACATCGGTTACTACCGTTATCAAACTTTTTCTCTCTCTTTCTCTTTCTCTCTTTCTCTCTCTCTCTCTTCACGTTCCAGCATTCGCGTATGCGCTGAACAAGAAGAACTCGCTGAAGAAAGTCGAAATACTTTAGCGCATTTCTTCGAGATCGGCTCGTACCTCTCTCCTCTTCTGCCGATGCGTTTGTGTCCTCGCAAATATTTGAAGAAGGCGCGAAACGTTAATGCAAAAGAATTAATTGTGAAAAATATATTAAAAAAAAAAAAAAAAAAAATATCTGATGTCAAAAATACACTTAATTTCGCTGAGATCAAAATTTGTTGATAGTGATATTATCATCTCGTCGTGAATTTCTTTCGTCGCTGTTACAATCCAACGTACGTAACGAAGAGATTTGATCGTTAAAAGATCTGAGGTCGCTTATTGACGAAGATTGGCGTAAGCCAAACTCTGAGAGAGACGAAGCGATGCCAATTAATATGACCGACAATTCACGCTACGTTATCTCCGCTAGTTGAGGCATCGTGAGAATTGGATTTACCCGGAATTTACGTTAGGGCCTCGTGTGATTGATGGCAGGTCGCTACGACCGATAGAGATCGCGAGTAGTTTAGACTAGTCCGTAATTCTCGTTAACATCCGACAAATGGTGTTGGTGTATCGACTGCGACAAGACAAGTTTGAAAACTGGGCCGAAGTTGGGGAAGCCCATCAAGGGGTCGGAGGTGAGATAATCTGAGAAGAACAAATGCTTCGGTTCGCAGAGCTTCACAACGAAACGCGTCGGTGATATGAAGCGCAAGCTGGTTTTAAATCAGCGGAGTTTTGCAAAAGCCACGCGCACGTGCGTGCACGTGAGACATTAATAATAAACTTTCCGTATAGTTAAACCTAAACCTAAACAAAGTTTCTATCCCCTCGCGTTACACGCTTGTCACGCGAGAGCGCTGCTCCGCTCTATTCTGGAAAAAAAAAAAAAACGCTCTAAATTAGGGCCAGATCCACGCTCTTATTTTTCACGCAATTTGTTACGTTGTATATATCCATCCGTGTTAGTTACAGAATTTCTCGCAATACGATCAGTCATTTTGTACGCGAATGCGTTATTTGTACAGATGCGCAAAGTTTCAACCTCGTTTTTACTTTTTTCCTTGTCGCACATGTCAACTTTATCTCGCGACGCGTATCGAAAACGGCATCACACACAGCGGTCGCGTTGAACGCGGTCACACGTGTGTGTGTGTATGCGTGCGTGCGTGCGTATGTTCTCATTAAAATATTTGATCGCGATTCTCACACGCTAAAGGCGCACTTGGACAACGTGATCGTTCACAGAGCCCGCATTTCTCACTCGAGATATTTCTAAATCCAAAAGTGTTCCCGAGTGCGGCCTCTCTTGTTACCTCTTATTTTGTATCGTCTGGCGGGGTTTAGGCCGTCACTTACCGCCGGCTTGTCGACCTTTCGGAACACGCACAAGCGCGCACACGATCGACGATACGCTGTCGCTCGAGTGGCGTTAACGTTTCACGGGCCGCGATGATGACGTGTCGAGGAGGATGGATACGTTATAAATCACACCCGGTGTGTCGCCGCGGCTTCGCGATGAATCTCTCTCGTTCTCTCATTTTCCCCTTGCTGATAAACGATCCATTACGCTAATGCCAAAGGAATTTCTATACTACGACGCGCTTCTCTCTCTGTGCGGTTCGAATTTAGCGCGACAATAATAACGAGTCTATGTAACTCACACGTGTGCGTTCTGGTTGCGTAACGTGTCGTACGCTCGCTCTCAAAGCGAGTAAAAAATTTATTTAATCTCCGTGATTTGTACACGTTTCGACATCTCGGTCCGATCGTCAATTATGAGTCATCGCAACGGTCGCTTTCGGCATGTGATGCGCGCGCGCGCGCGCATGTGTGCGCGTCGATAATTTACTTATTCGTGCCGCGATAATCACAATTACGTTGCGAGAATAGTCATTAATTCGCAAGAAATCCGAAGAAGACTCTTACGTGTACTGGATCTCAACGTTAACGGTGACCTTGTCCCTTCCCTCCTCGTCTATTGCAACACGACGAACGAAAGGTTCTCGTATGATAATTTCGAACAATGTTGCGTTTTGCAACAATCACTTGTGTACATTTAGTGGATTTCGTCTCGACGATTTAAAATTCCGATGGGAAACAAACTGCGGATATGGAATTGACAAATCCATCGTAAGTTGCGTCTCGAGACGTGGCGGATTGAGCCCACGGCGAAGCTTCACTTTTATTCACACGACCTATTGTCCGAGTTTTTGTGTGCCTCGCATGCTAACCGATCTCGAGCAGCTTGCCAAGCCGGCCGACCTTCCGTCCGCTCGCTCACTCGCTCGCCTACCTGTCTACCTGCTTTTGACCTCATCCCCGACTTGACCTGATCCGGTTGCCCGGTGTGGTTTCGTTGTTGTAGCGACCTCGATCATCTTTAAAGTCCCATTTCCAGGTGGCATTGCGTCACGACGTTCTCGCTGTCATTCCGAGATACCTGGCCTGGTAACGTTACACCGAGGGTCGCGATAATGTTGCCGCGATGTGATTATCAGTGTGACGAATTGCGCGAAATTCGATCTTCGCGCGGCGATCTGTAGCGAACTGCTGATGACAATAAACCCGCTGACACGTGTCAGCCTTCTTCTCAATCGTGTGAGCTTGATGTCGAATAAGATTTACGCTTTGTGACATAATTTGCGCACGTTATGGTAATGAAAGATTTGTTGACAATGCGCGTTGATTATTGTTGTTGTACAAGGGAACTCGTATTTACATTCAATACCGCAAATGCAGACGAGCGCGCGCAACGCGCGTTGCGCTTTTATTTAGCAAGCAGCGTTGTCGTGACGCAGCCACCGTGCGTGAAGGAAGAGAGACGAACGGTTTCACGTTTCTAATTATCTTATGTTTTTTTTTTGTGTGCTTGCAGACGAAAGAGACGCCATACAGAAGAAGACCTTCACGAAGTGGGTGAACAAGCATTTGAAAAAGGTGAGACACTATACGCTTTTTGAAATTTGCAACTAGACTTTCACGTTGGTGCTTTGCCAGCGGCTTGTTTCGCGAGAGTCTCAGTGGTGCTCACGCGAATATCGTTTTTAATTAGCCTAATGGCATTGATGTGATATCATACAGGGTGTAGTATTTACCGAGCATGTAATTAAAATACATTTGTGTAAATAAGCCGGAAATCTATGGGACACGTGTGGTAATTAAAGGGAACAAATTTTTAAAATTGCATGTTTTGCAAAAAAAAACTAATTTAAAAAACTAATTTAATATTTTCACGTTAACAGGCAGCGAATATACTCGCCAGACTTATTTATGGATTTGAGAATTCGCTAAGTGCGGCCTTCCCGTCTTGGTCTTATAAAATTTCAGATGTTAACGCGTATATAGCTCTCTCGATTTTTGTAAACAAAATTTGTGCGTAATGACGGTTTGCTCTGTCTATTCGCGCGGGCTCTCCTCGTCTGTTATGCGAAATTACTCGCGAAGAGGCGAATTTGCATTTCGCGCACAAATCCATCAAATTGTTCGCGCAAACAGATTTTACGATTTGCACGATACGATAATACGAGCGAGAATCTTTTAGACAAATTTGTTTCATTTAAGTGAAAAATATTGTATACTTATCTCGAAACACTTGGCGGATTACAAATCTGTACAGAAAATGTAGAGTCAACAGTTGTAGAACCCGCGAATGCGCGCTGCGTTTAATTGAAACGCGAGAGAGAACGAACGAGAGCGCGAAAGGCTTCCTCGTTTCGACGTAGGAAACGCGTGTAGCAGTGACGAAGTTTTTCTCCCATCGAAATCAATGTGCACGCGAATTCCGCCGCGGAAACTCGAGACGTACGTTTCCTCGTTTCGTTTCTCGAGAAAAGATCTCGCTCGATCTCGGTCTCGTCGCTATTAATGCCGTACAAGTAGGCGTTTCGCGCGATCACGCGCGGAATCGCGCCGCGTAAAAATACGTAAACTCTCATTGCGCAATCACGGTCCCGATATTGCGGCCCCCGTGTTGCGTATGTGGCACGCACGTGGGTCGAAAGTACCTGGTGGTCGCGCGCGCGTGAACAGAGGACTATAGAAGGCAGCGAGCAAAGACAAGTGGGCGACGCGATCGAGGAAAATCTCGAGCGACAACAAATCGCGATGATAAGCGTGCAGCGTTTTTCCTGAAACGTTCGATAAATCGTTCCTAAAGTAGTTGGAACAAAAAAAAAAAAAAAACGTTGCTCTTTGGAATCTAAAAACAGATTTAAAAAAATACATTATCGCAAATATATATTTATATCATTATTATAAATATATTTATATCATTATTATTATAAATATATATGTACTTATTTATATTTTGAAATATCAAATATATAAATTATATTTTTCTGTCTTCGTTCTTTATTGCACAAAGAACAAAGAATGACGATATACGCTCATGTTTAGAAACGTGGATTTGTTTAGATGAAGAAGCTTTGACAAATTTATAAAAACTCGCTGATAACAAAATATCCAATATAAACACAACGGGCTTTTGCTTTGATTTTTTTTCTGCTTCTACAGTTGCGCGAAATGAGATAGCGTAATCCCCGGCGTCGTCAGCTGATAAACTGATTATTTATCGTTAAATGAAACGATAAAGAGCCGCAGATACGTATCGCAGATAGCGCGATATACCGGTGAGCTTTGATCTTTGAAATAAATATATATTGCCGCGGACGCTGCGTTGTATTATGTCCGAGATAAAGAATGCGGCCGAACGTTTTCTCGATAAGGGACCGTCCATCCGTTTCGCGTTGTTGTATTTATCTTGACGCGAACGTGAGCAACCGCCAGCTATGTCGTGGCTGGATTTTCTCTCTCTCTCTGTCTTTCGGTCGCTTTCCAAGAGAACGTGCATCGTGCGAAATCGGTATTTGGCGGTGTTATCACACGGTCAGCGATTGTTTGTACTGGCAATTTTATTTGTAGTCGCGCAAACATTGCGAGAGAGAAAACCGCTGTGTTCCGCGAAGCGTATAAATTCGCGAAAACTCGCGATGATAGATTTCGATGATAGATCGAGATAAATCTTTGCTTTCTTTGCACAGTGTGATAATGCAAAGCAAAATATCTCTCGTTATTATTATTATTATCTCACGTAATTTCACGCTACTGTAGGATCGATCGCGATCCACGAAATCGTTGCTAAGAGCAAATTGCTCGCTAAACGATATGCACAGATCGGTCGTTATCGATAACAGGGAAAATTGTAGGAATTATATTACAAATCGTATTACAGACTCGCTGATAAAATTTAGAGCGGTTTATATTGCCGGGAATTTTTTTATCGAATAAATTGTCGAGATAATTAATAAAACAGCTTGTTATTGTGCCTTGACTATTTTCGTTTATGTAAGCCGCGAGAATATATGCGATATATTATAATTGTGAGATATTATGCAAGAGACATATGTCTCCGTAACCGATGCCATTTGTTACGTCACAAACAGTGGGCGGTAAATCGGAGTAAGAAATCGCGACGTGCAAAAAAAAAAAAAAAATAATAAAAAAAAAAAAAAAGACAGTCTTCCGTCTTTTCAAATCGAAATGTTTTCAACGCCGAGAGTTTAAAGCGTGTCCGATTTATTCGTTACGGAACGAAGCCGGTAAGTTCAGATGAAGTCGTCTCTCGCGAATTAATCTATGTGATATTTAATTAACTCGTCAATTACACCGAGAGACGCGAGTATGAAAAATCATACGAGGGGCACCGCGAGAGAGAGACCTCCCCTCGTTCGCGGTGCGGTATGCAACGCGCGTATGTCAGTCAGGACTTAATACAGACAATGATTCATCCGTCACGACGGAGCCGAACCGAGTCGAGAGTCGGGATTGAAGTCGAGTTGTGCGAGAGCCGCTCGAGGCAGACCGGGTCGGCGGCTCTGAGAATGGTTTGAATCACGGCCGTATACGGGTGGAGTTGTCCCGGCGACGTATAATTATCGTAAGCTGGCATCGTTCTGTCGTGCCGTTTCCTGCCCACCGTTTCTCATTCCTCGTCTCACTCTCGCCACGCGCGCGCGCGCGCTTCTTTCGCCGCGCCGGTCGCGGATAAAACGCGCGCAGAGGGATAGCGGATGCGATTCACTGGAGCTTCACACAGAGCCGCTGACAGCGATGCAGACTAAATGCAATGAGAAAAAATCTCAGGAGGATTTAATCAATTTAATGTAATAAATTATAAATTATGTAATAATACATTTTTTTTTATTTAGGAAGAACGGGGGGAAGTTTCTACGCGAAATTTCGGAAAAATTAACATTTCGTGAGAACAATTCTATTCACTGTTATTTCGCGATATAAAATGTGCCACGAATTAAGCGGAGAGTGTTTTTGATCAATTCAAAGTCTTTTACAGTAAAAATTGAGAGGGATCATCGTAAGAGGAAAGAAAAAAGCAAAAGGACTCTTGTACGCGAAATTCGTGCGCATTAAGAGCGCTTCGTATGAATGACGTTTTAATGATCGTTTTAATGACGCGGCCTTCCTCGTTGGCTCGTGTATCACGTGCACCTTTGTAACTCGACATAACGTTCTATTGTTGATACCATGCGATCGGGTGGCTCCTCTCCCTCTGCCCTGCCGTGCAGCGAGAATGCGACTATACGCGGTCAAGGCGTCGCAAATTTTTGCGCTCGCTAATTAATTGCTCATCTTCGACGAACTCGTTCGTTTAAATCAAAATTTTGCAACAACGTGCTCGAGAGATATGTTTTCAATCGCGCTACTTGCTTAATAATAAAAAACATCCACCATCGGTATCTTTCTGCTCAAAAGAGAATCATCTCCGAATTGAGCGAAGGAACTCGAGGAACGTTCGCTGATTATCGGGACGTCTTGCAGAGTTCGAGGAAGAGCCGAATGGTGAGACGGAAAAAGTCGAAATTTCGTCATAAAAATAATGGCGATACGCGCGATATTTGCGCGCGTTGCGCGATACACCGGTTGCCAGCATCGACCCACGGCCAGCCGGTCGGTTTCGCGCGCCCACGTTTGGTCTTGCGAGCCTGACCTTATTCGGAAACCCTCTTCGGAGAGTGCCGTTCCCGATTTACCACCTCCCGCCCGATTGTCCGGAGGTGGGACTGTAGGGCAGGTGAGGTAGGTAGCGTTTACTTTTCGGAACGCCGCTGGAGATGGACCGGCACAAGGAGGCGGCGCGTCGAAGGGGGAGAAAAAGAGCCTTTTACAGCTGTTTTTAGCGTTCACTCTCGTTTCGGCCGTTTGGGTGCGCGACACGAACCCGCGGCGCGCTTACGTAATCGTAAAATGCGAAGACGCCACTCGGCACCCCTGTCTGCATTCCGGACTTTTTTTTTTTTTTTTGGTACTTATTCTTAACCGGTAAATGCGTGCCTCTTCAATGCAAGGAGTAACAGCTCGAGCTGCATGTTCGACACTGCGGGAACCAAGTGCGTTTATTTAGGGAAACCGAATAAATTTTATATTTTTGGCAAATGTAACACGCGCGGGATGTACAAAATATTTATTTTCCTCTTAATTGACAAAATAAACAATCAGATCGCACGAATCCGCTCTCTTCGCAGTACGTGTGTACTTGTGGCAACTTCGCAGGACCTTGCGTTCGCGCGGAGTCACAGGAAGTGACTGATCTGCGCGTAAATCGAGGACAAAACAATATATGGCGCAAAATTAGCTTCGACGAAAAAGTTTTCTTTGAACGAAACACTCGCGAAAATTTTTTTAAAAAACTGAGCCCACGTGTTCATGAGCTCACGTATGTAGAAAATAATTTGCATGTTTTGCCGATAAGACCAAGAACGGATGGCTGCAATCAACCTAATACATTCTCCCACTTAATAGGTCTAATTATATGTAAGTCGTTATGTTGTAATCGATCTTTTTTGTATTTTTTGCTTCTCGCAGCACTGGAAGTACGTCAAGGTATGCATTGTGATAAATTTATCTTTTTATATAACATAAGAATCGATACAATGTATTTTTACATATCAACGTACAAGTGTGAAAACATAGACTCAAATATTTATTAAACAACGATTTATTTTGTGAGGTGGAATAAAGAGCATATAAAAATAAATAAACAAATAATAATTACATATATAGTCGTATAATAATCTAGTCATCAACATTAATTAAAAGCGACACTTTTGTGTCAAGAAGAAATGATTACCGCCGTAAAATAAATAAACAGCAATAGTGTGTCAAGTTTTAATTGCGATTGTAATTTGAACGTTTGAGACATTTTTCTCAACGCGCACATAAATTATACGAACGTAGCTTGCAATATGGGATAATTACTTTCATTACCGTCGTAAGAGAGAACGTGTCGTCATTACGTGTTCTATCGCGTTCTTCTTTCTCCTATCTCTCCGATGGCGCTTGCTTATGACAAACTGCGACGCTCACATGTCAAAACGGCACGTGAGGAATTGCGGAGTCGCGTCACGCGACAGAAGAAGAAGATTTATTCCGGCAATAATGTTCTCACCCTTTATCCGGCGTGTCTCTCGGAAACCCTTCACTCGTGACTGCAGAAATGCAAAGGGGATTTCGTATTCTTTTCCGCCTCAAGTGACTAGTCATGAAACTCACCGTCACTTACACATTGTGCAAGGCAATTGAGCAGCACGAATTACGAGCCAGTCAATCCGCGAGAGTTAATTTTAGCGAGGTGGTTTACGTACACGAAAGCCGCCAGGTAACTGTCGTGCGATCGTATATTTTATATATTACACACGCAATAAATTTTAAAAGTCGTCGTTGCATTTGCACATACATCATGTATATTGCGGACTTTTTAACGGAGTATTTGTATTCCGAAAAACTTTTTTTTGTGTGATGTTTGTGTTTTATACTTTCTTTTCTTCAGAGATGAAAAGAGAAACTTGCGGACCCAAGTCCGGAAACACTTCCGTTTCGAGTTATACAGGACTTTTAAGACCGTCGGAGTCGGTCGGTTTATTATTTCTGAGTAAACAGGGTTTGCCACCAGTTGGCGAACAGTTGGAGAACTCGTGTGCTCGTCTCTCGGTTTGTTATTACGCGCCTTAATAAAAAGTTATACGCACGGGTACGATGTAGCTGTTACGGATTATCACTCTGACAAAATACATAAAAGTAAATCATAGCAAGTGGGAGAGACGTTTGCAAGCTACGTTCAGAGATCATTTTAGATTGAGCGAAAACAGAAAAGTGAATAAAACTCTTGAAATTTATGTGTGCGTTTGTGCATTCGTATTTTATTTGACTCTCTATATCTCAATTATTACACGTGTATATATACACACACACACACACACATAAAGTAGTTATGTTTAAATTTACAAATAAATAATGTATGATCATATGGTTGATATGATCAACTAAAATTACATACGGTTACATTGCGCTGTAAGATTCGCTTTCTTTTTTGGGAATTCTTTGGGACTCTTCAAAACCTTTGCTTTCGCTGTTTCTTTTTCAGAAAAAAAAACAAACTGTAGTACGGACGTGTTGCGACATTCGTTGTGTAATCCTCGTTGGTGCGACGTAAATTTTACATGATGCTCGACCATCGACTCTTTTGACGAAACGAGGATATGTTATCGATCCTCCCCGTTTATCGCGCGCGATATAAAGAAACGCGCGAGTGTCGCAATGTGTTCGCAAAACGAAACGCGTCTCGAAATCATCTTTTTCTTTTGAGGCTCAAGACACGACTTGTTGCAATTAGTCACGGTTACGAAATGCGGATGGAAGGCGGATCACGTGCTATTCTGTCAATCGCTTGACATTTATTCACCTACTGGCTGTGCAGGACACGCGACGCACGCATGTGTGTGTGTGTGTGCGTGCGTGACACGCAACGCGCAGGGGCGAATTGATTAACATAGATAATTATATTTATTAACGTAGATAATCATAGATATTTGATTATTTGTAAAAATAATTTATTCAAAATGTTTTAATCATTAAAATGACACGCTGCAAATAGAGCGTCCCTTTTAACGCTTCTCCGCCTCTCAAAAAATCATCTTTTCAAATCTTGCACAGCGGCGTTGTTTTTTTTTTTTTTTATTCGCCCCTGTTCACGCGAGCACGCTCTCTTTACTAATTTTTACGGTGACGGTTCTCGCTATCTTTTTCAGACTTACACGTGCCTACACGTATGTGTCCTAGTGAACAACCAACCATGCTGTTCTCCTACCGTAAGTTCATAGTACTCATTCTCATTATCCATCGACCAGAGAGACGACGTGTGTTTTTTTGCACACATTGTTTGATTTTCGCGGTTTCACAAATCAATCGCTTGTAAAATATGTGCAAAATGCGCCATTGCGCATTTGTATCATTGAGCGAGCGAGGAAATTCTCGCGACACGAGTGTTTTCTCGTGCTATTAACGCGCCACCGTCTGACTAACACCTGCACGAGATGACGTACTCGGACTTGCGACCATTGGTCGACCGATATGGTAGCGAATGCGACGAGATTTTTTTCAAAACCGGTCTCTCTCTTCGCGGAGATTTGCATGCTGTTTACTTTTGTGCGTAATCGCTTTCGAATAGAATTTTAAAGACGACGTAACGTCATGACGTATCGTATAATTTCGCGTGAAAATTTCTTAGTTTCTTTTATTGGCTGCTGCCAAGTATTTGTTGCGGTCGCATCTCGTACGTCGAGAACTCGATCGCGGAGATTTTTATCGCAGCGGTGATTGTAAAAAAATCACCGAGCAAAATTGTCGCACAGTTGATGTCGAAAATTGATAAAATTGCATGATCTTTTCTTCTCTCTATCACGCGCGAAGAAAAGCACATATGTCGACATTCACTTTGTTGCCGACGAACTCGCTTGACTCATACCTACGCTTTCATTATTTGCATTATGCACACGCAACTCTCAACATTCCTGCGGTTTTTCATTTTCTATTCATAGTAAAACGCGCTTATACAGTGAGTTATATTGCCTGCGGACTGTGTCCTTACGTGTATTGTTATGTTTTCTCTCTGACTTTTTTATGACTCTCTAGATTCCTTTTCTGTGTCACTTCGATTGACGATTTTTTTTTTATTTTTTTTTTTTTTTGGTTTTTTTCCTCCCAGTCGTCACAGATGTGTCAATCACTCCTCGAACTGTGAAAAAAAACGGCAATTATTAACTTGCCACCTTGGTTTGGGATTTGTTGCAGGCGAGCAGACATGTCGGAGATCTGTTCGAGGATTTGCGCGATGGCCACAACCTCATATCCCTGCTGGAGGTGCTGTCAGGCGAGCATCTCGTGAGTATTTGCCTTTCGCGAAAAGAAATAAAAGAAAAAAAGAATTTTCTGAACAATTTTTCTACGTTTAGTTCTTCGTTAAATCTAAAAGAGAGAGATAGAAAATGTCACACACAAAAGCGATCAAAAGTCGCAGTTTTTCTCTTTCTCAAGAATTCATATTTTTATAGCAGAATTTATATATGTATTTTTGCATGGACAATTTGTAAGCTCGGTATTATGTTTCTGCAAAAAATAATTCAACTGTGCTCATTGATCTTTCAGTTGAATTGCAGTCTGTAATTGCACTCTACGACAATTGGTTTCAAGTAGCTATAATTGTCCTCGATTGAATGTAATTATTATCAACGTTTCATCGATCGTGTTTTTTCAGCCGCGGGAGAGAGGCCGTATGCGTTTTCACATGCTGCAAAACGTTCAGATGGCCCTTGATTTTCTACGGTACAAGAAAATCAAATTGGTCAACATCCGAGCGGAAGACATCGTGGACGGTAACCCGAAGCTCACCCTCGGCTTGATATGGACCATCATTCTGCACTTCCAAGTGAGTAGTTTTTTTCATCGGTTCAGCACACAAATCGTGATAAGACGCGATTGTCGTCAAATGCGACAATCCTTACGCAGTAACGACGCCTATGGTTCGCCTTTCGAATTGACTATTTCTGAAACTGAACAACGGCATCTCACAGAAACGTTTGAATTTGTCGGCGGCAAATGCGTGTAAATTTATACGCGTCGTGTAAATTTATGCCCGCGTTCGTAAACACAAGCCGCGTCTTACGTTTGTTTGCTCGACAGTTCCGGAAGTCGCGCACCTCTTTGACCATAGAACCCGGGGGGATTTGTAAAGATTTTCTCTAGAGTCCGTTTCAGAAACGCAACACGGTTTATACTGCACTTTGCTTTTTTTTGTTTTCTGAGAACATTATATTCTGTACACGATTCGAAGTAACTGTGTAAATTTTGACAACGGTATCTCACACGATAACAAACAATGCTCGTTAATCAAAACGCACTAATATCTTGTCGCGACACGACACTCGGCGTCGTGTCGAAAGTACGTATTTTGCATGTTCGCGCACTCGTGTATGCGTACCGTTGGACTAACGGAATACGTTGGTCTCTTGTTGGGCGCGGCAAACACTTTTGTCGTGTTGGAAATAGTTGGTTGATTATTGTATTCGGTTCACTTTTCGCGGAAAACAGAGAGAGACCAACTTGAGAATCGAATCGCCGAACGTTCGTTTCGAAATTCAGGCCGTTTCTCGTTTTCATCATCACCGCGACTCGGAATTGTATTCCGCGCAACGAGATGTTAGGGACAACACGTCGAAGATTTAAAGAGCTGTCTTTCTCGATGAATGCAGGAGAGTTTGAAATAACGCACGCGCACATTCTTCTATTTCGAGACAGGCGGAAACAGCGCGATGGGAATAAATTCGTGGGATTAAATACTTTCGTCATCATTTCGGGCGGAAATCTCTCGTTTTCGTTCTCCGACTCATATATATATATATATATATATATATATATCTCTCTCTCTCTCTCTCTCTCTCTCTCTTTCTCTGCGAGCCGTCGTGTCGCAATTCTCTCTTCCGCCTAATTTGTGTTGTCGCGGCGCTTGCATCTGAGCGAGGCAAATCTCTTCGCGAAGCGTTTACGCGCGCTCGGCGTGAAACGCTCTCTTTGAGGTCCGTTGCGCTTCGTATATCTCGCTGGTTGCGATACCGATCTGGTCCGTAAAACTTGACAAGTTGACCATTAGAATGTCGATGAACTCCTGATAAGTTTTGTCTCAGCGTGACGTTTATTATTAGATCTGGCCGGAATTTCCACTTTAGTAGTTTTTTTTTTTTTTTCGTTCTTTTAAAGAGCTTTTTCGCGCTCAATCTTTCCTCGTCTAATTGTATGTGTGTGCGTGTGTGTGTTCTTTTATCACGTTCTCAGACGCGAGACTGTCAAATTGTCGGCGTTTCGTCGTTCTGGTTTGACCAGCGCAGAAGACGATGTTTGAACGGCGCAAACGCACGTTCATGCTAATCAAGCATCCGCGTGTACGCGCCGCGATCGGTCACATCTCGGCGCGTTGTGTTCCTATTCTATTTTTAGAACCCGTATCCCGATGTAATGTTGTGGTAGGTAGGCACCGGTATCGAATGGTACATATAGTAGCTATCGCGCGCGTGTGCGTCTATAGGAATCACGTGCATTGCCAAAGAAAAGCGAAAGCGAGGACGGCCGCGCTCGCCTCGCGGAGACCGGTCGCATTCGCGCTCGAACCGAATCAAATTCGCGCTATCATCTGCGCTATCTGCAAGGAAACAAAAGTATCACGGGCGCACACGCCCATGCGATTTAATATTAGATAATAACTTCAACATACAAGACACTTAATAGATCTAGTAATTTGCTTTTCTCTTTTCAATTAAAATCTAAGCGAGTTTCAGATACCGTTTTCCACGCTTTTGTTTTTTTTTTTTTTTTTGGTTTTTAATTCTTGAAGATCTCGAGTGCAATCCGGTTCGATTAGTCAGTTTCTCTGCTTCCGTTCGCCATCTCGATAGACGACACGCGACATGAATAAAAATCACGCGGCGATTGACGTCGATTGCCCGTATCGCCCGCGTGTGTAACGTTGTATCGGCAAATCTTGAGACGCCGCGATGCGAGCAGTTTGAAACGCGCGACGGCTAATACATCCGCTTATGAATATTTCTTTTGATGGGGATCGCGCGATGCTGTGCAACTGCTGCCCCGTGTCGCTCTACCCGCGTGATAAACGCGGCGAGACGACGCGACCGCGCGCAGCATCGCATTTACGCGGCGAGATATCACATGCGCGCGTTTCTTCTTTTTAAGGAGCCGCAAAAAGCCGGATAAAGGCGCGAACCGAGTAACCGAGTTACGCGAGCGCATAAAGGCGACCAGTGTTCGATCTTCTCGGCAACGTCTGCCGAGTTTGCAGTGTGCAAAAGGATTAAATAGAAATTCCAGATATATATAAAAATGCGATATTATAACGAACTATTGTTTGTGTTTTCTTTTTTTATTTTTTTATTTTTTTATATCTGATTTTTCTCGCGCGAGTGACAAAGTAGCTTTCAACCTTAATCTCTCATTCTTCGGAGTCAGTATCTTTTATCGTTAATTGGAAATATAGATACGGATGTGTAATATAAATGTCTATAGAGAAAGAAAAAAAGGAAGGAGAGGCAAAATAAATATAATATGTGTATAAAAAAACGACATAATCTATGTATATAAAAAAAAAGGATACATATTATTATATTATATTATATTATATTATATTATATTATGTGCTATATATTATATATGTGTATACATCTTGTCTCTTACACACAATTCGATCTTTTTGCATAATTTTGGAAATTTACTACTTTGTTTTTTTTCTTAAGCTTTTTTTTTGAAAAGAAAATGCTGAAAAAATATTTTAAAACCATATTGAGAGAAAAAAAAAGAGTCTTTTGTATTGATTGTGACACGGCCTAATTAAATATAACGAATCGATCGTAGGTTTATATTGAAATATCACACGTAGTCTAACGTTTTTATACTTAAATATCATAATATAATCTATTTAACGCTATAAATAGTTGCCCATATCTAACAGAGAATTTTCTTGTTTTCTTTTGCGCCGCAGAGATGGCGACGCAAGGTAAGTCCGATACCACTATACATCCCCTAAATAATCATCATCATTGATCGGGTTGTAGATGATGTTTTTGGGAACCAAAGTGGTTTTTTTCCTTTCTTTTTTTTTTGTTCGTCTTACACGCAACATTGTGTAAAACGCGCGTCCACGATTTATTCTCTGTTTTACCGACGACACTTGCCGACGAGACGATCGCTTCGTTAAACACAGATGGCTCGTACAGGTAGTAATCACACCTGGAGGAATTATAGCGAGCGAAATGTGAATGAGCGCGCTCCACGGTTCTCCCACTTGGTTCCCACTTGAAACGCTCACAATCACATTCATATTTCTACATCAATTCAAGTTTTTGTAAAATACATGCAAAGAGAGAAAATCAATTTCTATTTACACGTCAAATGTTCTCACACGTCGATCTTAACGTTGTTTGAATGTTGTCGAGAGTTATTTATTTATTTTTTTTTTTTATCGCAGTTAATAATCGCAACATTTTTGATCTTTAGTATCTATATTAAGAACGAAGTTTAACTCGATGCTCGAGGCGCAGGAAATAATTGCCACATTCTGTTGCGTAGAAATTACAGTCTTTAAATAAAATGGTCAATAAGTTTCTCGATTGATTAGACGCTCGCGATATATGTTGTAACGCGACTTGGGCATTAGGCGCGGTATTTCCTAATTGATATTACGAAGCGGTGTCTTGCAGTGTGCAGGAAAATCAGGATTTATTGTGCTCACGACTTTCCCGTGATCACGTGTCAACGTCCTAGACACACGTTCTTATCGAAGACTGAGATCTCAAGAGAGAAAGAGAGAGAGAGAGAGAGAGAGAAAGACACAATCCGTGCAATGAATAATTAACGCTTTGCTAATTTTCACATCGACCTCCGATCTGCGTCAACAACGTGATTCAATTTCCGATCATGTACGACATTTCGTAATTGCACGCATCAAATTATTCGACATACACATCGCGAAGTTATATTTCGAGGTATATCATTCACTCAACATTTACGGGAAAATGTGATTTTGCAGAAAAAAAAAACTGCGACAATTCTGACGCTGTATGTTAAAATTTGTTTTTTTTTGTGCGCAGAAGTGCGATGTTTTGCTCCGCAAAATTGCGTAGGTGGAATTGGCAATAAAATAACCACTTAAAAAAAAAAAAAAAAAAAAAAAAAAAGAAAAAAAAAAACTGAGTCGTAATATTCAGCTCCGCAGGGTAGACGTGTTTGCAGTCGAAGGTCTTCGCAAATCGATCTTGTAAATTACCGTCTCGCCTCGGGGGGGAATTTACAAATTCATCGCTTCCGATAAACACGATAAACACATTATGTCGTTAAATGCTCAACTGTTTATCTTTTATTGCATCTCGTCTCGCGAACGTTTTTAACATTCAAATAACACACGTTGCTTCTTTAATTAAATGTTTCTTTAAATGTTTCATGTTGTATATATTGTCAAAAATTGCACAAGAATAGGAGAATCTCAAGAACGAGTAGTTTAAGTCACGATTTTTGTTTATATTTGATAAAAATCCTTGAGAAAGTGCGTGCACAAATATTAAAAAAAAATTTATTCCGCCCCGAGAGAAGGAATGAGATATTCAGTTTCAAAGGTAAATTAACGTTAATTGATCGTTTCGGTGTGCTCTTTCAAATAGCGCCTTTGTAGCGACGTGCCGTCGCTGTTTAGACGATGACGCTATTACGAATGACATCATTCACCTGTGTGCGCGAAACTATTCAAAGTCTGAATCCGCGAGTACCGACACGAGCCCGTTCCGATGCGCGCCGATTATATTTGTTTCACTTGTTTGCGCGCGACAGCGAGGAGAAAGACTTCGCTTCGCTGGATCAATCAATCGCCGT